TTCCATGATGTGTTTACTCCCTTTCCACAAAATTTTATTATCAAAAAGAATATAAGATAAGAATCTTAAAAAATGACTCTTTAACTTTTAAGTATAATCAATTACAATCCTTGGTATTTCATTATTGTTTCTAATGTAGTAAATAATACTCAAATTCAAGAAATCAGTTGCAAACCTCAAGCCTACTGCTGAAACAGATTTATTCTTAGCAATCAAATTCTTGAATCAATATTCACTTCTATCATACATTTCTTCAAACACTTGGAAGGCCGACCGACCTTTTGAAGATAATTCTTTCTTTACATTCAGATAATACTGACTAGATATACAAACTTGCTATGGAGTTTAAGAATAAAATGAAAGAAATAGATAAATTGGGCTAGGAAACGATGTAGATGAATTTAACTTAATCAAAAGATCTTGCTGCCGAAAAAAGGTGCTAGCCAAGAAAACAGTCAACCAAAAGCATTGTGGGTGAAAATATTAGGAGTAGAACTACCTTCCCCACCACAGCCATCTCTAACCACTGCCTTCCCCATAGAGAAACACAATTGTTGGAGAGCCACCACCGCCACCTTATACCGCCAACAACACCACCTGTTATCATCATCGACAAGCACCTCCATCGAGACCCACTCTTAGCCGAAACACCACCCATGTTGCACCATCACAAACACAAGTTCCAGAGAACCATCATACCATCACACAACTGCAAGTTCGAACCAATAAGAAAAGAAAGAGAAGAGAAGGGTTGTCGATTTCTTGGTTGCAGAGTATGAGCTTCGCATGGGGTTAAAAATTTAGCGTTGATGTGTTTATTGGGGGAGTTTGAGGGAATATCAAAAAGGAGGGGGGAGAATTTTGGGAAATCCGAAAAATTAGGGATAGAAAGGCAATTAGATCAAAGGAGGAAAATAAAATTTTTAGTAAAGATGGAAAATTGAAATTCTTTAAGAGGGAAAAAATTAAACTCCTTATTAAATGTCATAATACAATACTTATGGTCATATGTTGTTATTCTTTGATATCCAAAATCATTATTCTAGAGATACATATGAAATTAAATTGTTATCACAAAACAGTTATAGTCACATGTTTTTCTTTTAAATGTCATAATAAAATACTTACACTCACAATGATCTGTTGTGACTATTAACTAATATTTGTCACATTTTTTATGTAAAACAGTAACAAAATATGTTAACATAGTTTGCAATGGTGATGGTTTTTAACTAATATGTGACTAAAGTATTACTATAATTTGATTAATGACCTTTAGTGATGCAATTAACCAAATCTGTGACTACCCTGTTTCCAAAAAGCATGGTTGTAAGTCATTTTTGTACAACTGCTTGTTATAAGAGATATAGTATCTAATGCGCCCCGGGCTCCGATTTAGATGGATTGGCATCGCAGGTGAGTAGACTCGAGATGTGAGACCTGGAAGCACCAACAACTCGTAAGTTGTTAACCAGGAATGTCTTCCGGGCCAACGATTCGATGACAAAGTTAGAGTTTATTTGATGATATTGAAGTTTGTATGAATGAGAGCGTGATTGTTTTTGCATACCTTTTGAAACGGCCGATCGTCTTATTTATAATCATTGTATTTAACGATAAACCTCTTGCATTACCGATCATTCTCGGGTCTTGTCGCATTTATGATTTGTATATCGAAAGTACACAGGTGTGTCCTTTTGGTCGTTTAACAGGTAATTCTTGATAGTTGTGGGGTTGCCAAACGTCAAACGTAAGAAAACCTATATCATTTGTTAGTTCCAACGTTCCTTGGTATTCAATAACGATTTTTCGTACTCGTCCTGATCTTGACTATCAGATGGCGAATGGTTTGGCTATTTCAGACATCGGTATCACCGGACCATGATCCAGTAATAGTGTGGGCGTCAGTATTACCTAGACTACGGTTCGGTTATTTGCAAAGGATTTTTTAACGAGGTTATATGCATAATATCAGGTCATATACCCTATTAAGTTCCCCCAATTTGTGTGACATCCCCATTTTCACGGCCAGAAAAGACCAATTTTGTTTATGCTTGTTTCAAAATCAGAGTAACATTTTTAAGAAAAGTGTTGCGGAATTTGTTCCCAAAAGAAAATATGATAAAGATTTATCAAAGCATTTCCGAAGAAATATATTTCATTAAAACCTCGGGATTTCATGTTCGATACAGATCAAAAGCATAAACAGTACAATATAAGCCTTACAACATTTATTCATGTCTACAGACCTATAATTCGTAATCCCTCATCCAAACATCACATCTATGCTCGAGTGTCACTACCTATAATACAAGAAACTGAGTGGGTCGGGCTTGGGAGCCTGGTGAGCACATAGGGTTTTCAACCCACAATAAATAAGTTTATTAATTTCAACAACCAACAATAACCCGATTATCCGTTCCCGTTATCCTCACTTTACGTCCCTAAACACCTATCATAAGGGACCTAGCCTAAGGATCATCATCGGTATGGACACTACTGGTAAGGGGCTTCCTCAGCAATAAATGTCCTAAAGGCAACCATGAGGGGGATGGAGTACACCGGTGAACACATCGTTCACAAACACCTACAGGTTGCGAGCCTGCTAGCGTTCCACTGGACTCTCTAGAAAAGTCTGTGGTCGTCATCTATACTCCGCTAGATGACTGGAAACATCGTCAACATCGAGGCCTCTCATCATTTTATTTCATCACACCCAACTATTACATCTACCCATCTTTTACCCAACACATTTTGTAGATATAAAATACATATACAGTTTAAATCACTTAAAACATGTATAAAATCGTTCATCCAGCATAGATAGCAAGTATAAGGTTATATGCACACATAGCACGTAATTTATATAAAATACTTCATATCTATGTATAAGATGAAAGTAACTATGCACTTACTTGTTACAGTGACAACTCGAAATTCGAGCAGCGCTTCGCTTCTTAACAATATGATTTCCTTCGACGAAACCTAGTATTATTATCACTAGATTTTAGTCTAATATTTATTGCAACTAATTATTAGTCTAGATTCTTCATTAATTCAGAGTCTACTTCATGATCTATCAAGTAAGGATCAGCCAGGCAGGACAGTTGAGAGGCAGGACCATTTCGGCATATAGCTTTTCTAAAATCCAACAACCAAACCCAACGTGACCATTCTAGACACCTCTCCTGTAAGTAGTTCAATCAGTATAACGACTTTGAATCACTGATAAATCTTGTTTATAGGTTCATAATAACGATATTATATTTATATATAAGCTATATTTAAAGTAGGGAAGGCGTATCTCACTTACAACGGGTTTTACTAAAAACCGGGCTCTGCTGGAGCAGAGCTTCTGAGCCGAAAAGCTCTTTTTCTCGGAGCGGTCGGGAGCTCCGGGGCTTCCTTCTCGTGCTAGGGAGGTACCCTAGGCTTTGGGGGTTTTGGGGGGTGTTAGAGAGTGTATAGAGAGAAAGAGATGGGAATTGGTGTGAGAAATGAGGCTGCCCCGCACCTCTATTTATAGGCTGTAAATCTGATCAACTCATCGAGTTGGGCCTCCAACTCGTCGAGTTGGGTGCCACATGTCACCATCTGGTGGCAAGACTTAGGGAGAAAGCAATGGCTCAGATCGCGCCACGTCACCCCCTTCGCGGCAGCACACTCCCGACTTCTAAACCCCGTAACTTTCGCATACAAGCTCCGTTTTTGACGTTCTTTATATCCACGTGTAGGTATTGACAAGATCTACAAATCTCCTTTTGACTCCGTCGGCTAATTATCGGCTGATTTTAAATTTAACAGTATGAGAAGATTACACTGTTAAATGACTGTGTAGAATTCATAACTTCTACATACGGACTCCGTTTTCGTCTGTATTTTTATCGTTGAGATCTTATTAATGAGATATTCAATTCTCATTTAGGTAGCGTTGGCCAAAAATCGATCGATCTAAAATTCGAATTTCAGGTTGTGCACTGCTATGCCAAATCTTAGAAAAATCATAACTTCCTCATACGAAGTCAGATTTGGACGTTCTTTTTATGTATCTTTTCGGTTTAACGTATAGTCGTATACTACAACTTTCATTTAGATCTATAAGGCAAAAAAGTAGCTTATCAAAAAATCACTTTTTACGATTCCCGGTGTCGTGTCGGTTTTGCCATAAAACTTCGACAGGTCATAACTTCTTCGTTATAACTCGGATTTCGGCGTTCTTTATATATCTGGAATCCTTGTTTCGACCACTACAACGTTATGTATAAATATTGGGTTTATCTAACACTTTATTTTCGACGCTCATTTTTATTATATCTTTATAAACAAATATATAAGCACATAAAATCACATAATTCACATAATATTCAAGTAATTCATCTTTATTGCTTCAAAATAGTTTGCAATGGTTGAACTTGACTATTACATCATTATACTAATGCGTAGACCAGAAACACGAGCGTTATAGTTTGGACCATCACTCTTTCAAGAGTAATGGTTCAAACTTAATGCTTTACCGATGCGATTTTGAAATTCGGATAAGCGCGACTATCTGATGTGACATTTTGACGGCTTTGTTCTTCATCATTGTCTATAACTGTCCATTCGAATTCTTTTCCATTTAAAGTCTTTGAAGGTTGTATCTGCCTCTTTGTTTTCTCTTATAAATGTCTCATAGCTCTTTTCTATAAAATTTCATCTTCACATTTTTTCTTCCCAAAAGGAAATTTTAAGAAATCGCCCACCATCGCTAGCAAAGATATTGCGAGCAGTTGGGTTGTTGTAACTTGTCTTACCCCCAAAAGCTTAGCTGAAATCATGAAAAAATATGATATCAATCCCAAATTCAAGCCTTGTCTACCTGAACCCAAACAAGCCATTGTGAACGCTCCAGAGGGGTTTATTAACATATATCCTTAATTTTTTAAGTACGGCCTGCGATTACAAGAATTTGATTTCCTGGGGATAGTTTAAAGTATTATGGGCTCCACATTGCACAATTGATGCCCAATAGCTTTCTCAAGATGACTTTCTTTTTCATGCTTTATTCTGCACTTGATATTGTCCGGTCTCTAAACCTGTTTTGTCACTTCTATGTGACGATGTCCAGTGGTGGTTGGTTGTCTTACACCCTTCATCATGGACTTGTTAATTTGGGCGATGGACTCACAACTTCAATTAAGAGGTGGAAGGAAGATTTCTTCTTTGTTCATGCCTCTACTTTCGCGGTCCATATGACTTATGGTGTGTCGGCTGATAGAGTTGCCGATGCGACTCCTGAGTTGAGTGACGATGAGCGGGATATCATCGATCGTCTTTTTGTAAATTATGTGAAATGGTCGGATCCTAACGAGACGATGTTAGGGATGGCTAGTTTGAGTTCCCATTGGAATAAGTTGAGGAAACGGCCTTTGCATACCATAGGGGGAAAACTATTGAGCGGTTGCATAAGAAGCGGCTCGCCAGTTCCAGTCAAGCGGTGGAGGATGCTTCTACTCCAAATTCCCCCATTCAATCAAAGTTAAGCATGGATTCTTCATTTAATGCCTCAGGTAACGATTCCACTGTTGTTTCCCTGAAGGTTATCCATGAAACTGTTAAGGCAAAGCATGCTAGTGGGAAACCACCCTCTTCTTCGTCCTGTGTGCTTGGAAAAAGCTTTCCTCAAAGAGGAAATTAGGGCTAGACGTGTCTAGGGTAAAGAACCCTACCTTTGGAAGATGTAACGTACCGTTACGAGCCCGTGATTGACCTTTCTCCTCTAAACCGAAAAAGGACTATACGGGTTGTGGAGAATAAGAAACGTTTAATGAAGCTTTAACTTCGAAACCCCAGCCTGAGGGTACAGTTCCCGTTTTGCATGTGGTTCCAGACAAAGTAGTTAAGCTTCATGAGTGCCCGATTACTTCAAACCCAAAATTGATGCATGTCGAGGACTCTCTTTCCACTTCTTTTATCGATATTATGGGATCAAAAGAAGTGGAGGGTTCTTAGTTAGTTGTTGTTGATATGCCTCCAAAAGAAGCCTCTGTAGCCATCCCTTTTGTTATGGTTGTTTTCTAACGCAAGTTATTTGGTGCTAGATGTAGAGTGTTTCGTACATCCCACACGGAGATAACGGTCACTATTGTTAATCGTCTTCCATATGATTCAACTTCCCAGGGTGTTTCGAGTGCTTCTCTTGTTGAAATGATTGATATTAATGTTTTTAAATGTGTACGGGTTCAACTGACCTTCCAGGTGTTTAAAGATGAATATAAGGCGTGGACCGGATATATATATATATATATATATATATATATATAATATTATATATATATATATAGGGCTAGGTTATTTTGTTTCTTACATTTATTGTGTGCTAGAATGCACCAATTAAATTAAATAATTATTTAATTAAATAAATATAGATATTAAATGATTTCCATAATTATATGTATATTAAATGATATCCATAATTATAATTCTCTTTTTATGGAAACTAATTAAATCCGTCATTAATGTCAGCAATAACATTCTTTCAGAATGAATTCGCATCTAGGTTTTTATACATGAGTTCCTATTTTGTTTCAGGACTCATTCACTTAAAATACAATAAAGTTGCATGAAATATGAAGAACAATAGTGTATTCTACTAGAATACACTTTCATTCTGCTGGAATATACTCTCATTCTTCTAGATATGAATTCATTCCGAAAGAATATTATTGTTGACATTAATGACGAATTTAATTAGTTTCCATAAAAATGAATTATAAGTATGGATAGCATTTAATATACATATAATTAATACTAAATTCTTATTGGTGCATTCTAGCACACAATAGATATGAGAAACATTTGAACCTACCTCTCTCTCTCTCTCTCTCTCTCTCTCTCTATATATATATATATATATATATATATATATATATATATATATATATAGAGAGAGAGAGAGAGAGAGAGAAAGAAAGAAAGAAAGAAAGAGAAAGAGATATACAGAGGAGGTTACATATTTTTTAGATTGGATGCGAGTAATTTTGTTTGTCATCCTCCTAGTGGTAAATTTTTATGTTGTGAAGATTGATTCACCCTTTGACCCTATATAGTTGTTAGGCAGACCAAGCATGGGGTCTCACTCCTTGCAAGGGACATGGAAAGCTTCCCAGGAATATATTATTTGTGAGTTTGTTCCTATCTCAGATTCACCTTCATTATCGTCATGGGCGAGCTTTTGTTAGAGTTATTTAGGTTTGGCTTTATTGACAATTTTAAATCAACCAACTAGTATTTATATCTCTTAAATTTGTGTAAACTAATGCATCAAAAATTCATTTGGCATAAAACAATAAAATCTTTTGCTCTCGTGATCATCATGGACATAGTCAATCATTCTGATCGCATGAACCTCATAAATTGATTGTGTTCTTGTTTTTCGTTATGGATTATCGCTTTGTGTGAAATCGTTTATCGTTTGTTGAAGTGCTTAAACCCTAACACATATATTAACTACGACATAGTTACATTAATGTATCTACCATCGAAAGTTGAAATATAGTATTTTGAAGTAAAACAATAATATGTTATGAAACTAAAAATAACAAGAATGACGTTTAAGTCGACTTTATTTTAAATTCGAAGTAAAAGTTCGACATGATTTTTGTATGCAATTTAATTATATGCTATGTTTACTATTATATATTTTAACCTATTCATTGATCTAACCCTTCTAGTGGTTTAATGACGTCTAGTTGTACAATCTCGAGTTAAAAAGTCGCCAATTCTGGTTCTTTCGGATACCGCCTTCCTGTACCAATCTCATCTTCATTTCCAGTCAATTTTTTATTATTATTTTGAAGACCCAAACACACAAACACAGCTAATATATAGGGCTATGATATTGTTGTAAGTCGCACCACCAAACCCATGATCCCTTTCATGTCTTCTGCAAAATCTCATCTTCTTTCACCTATCAAGAACTTCATCCATGCTGATTTCCATGGAGTCTTTCAAAGAATGACACTGACAGACAAAGTTCTCTTCCTGGTACGTATTCTCATGCTGCATGCATGTTGCTTAAAATCTTGATTAATTCCACACAAAAGTTGATCAATCATCTGTACAGAACGTTCACGGCGTTGACAAGTCAGGCATCGGGTGGCACCGTCTGCCGGTTTTCTTGGGACTGTCGTACTTGGCTATACGCCGGCGTCTTCATGACAAGTATAATTTACTCAACGTTGGGAAAACTCCTGTGGGTGTTCGGTTCAATGCTGCTGACTTTCCGTTCAGAACAGCCGATGGAAAGTTCACTGATCCTTTCAATGAAGGTACCGGTGGTGAAGGAAGTTTTTTTGGCCGGAACATGCCTCCTGTTGATCAGAAAGATAAGGTACGTACATTGAGATTAGTGTCGTGTGGATATTGTTAGTTCTGAATTGGCTGATAGTGATTATTCTAACTGCTACATTATTAAAATGTAACAAAGATACCAAACATATTAATAAATGTTAAAACCTTTTATACAATTAGTTATTATGATAATAAAATCAATAAAATCAATTTTATGTTTTTAATCTTAAATTAACTAAATTTTTAAGATGCTTGAAGACTAAAGTTTTAATTTTTTTTATTATCATGAAATCTTTAATTTTAATCGGAAAACAAATTTATCTAGTTATTTTATTAAAATTATAATAAAATAAATATCATTTTTTAACATCTAGAAATATAATTAGAAACGCTAACAAGATGCTAGGGGAAGGTTACAACACAACGGACATTGGATCTTCAACCGACTCTCCCAAACTAACCTTAACCCCTCTCTAGTCCTAGACTTGAGCCAATAAAAAGCAACAATTTTCACGTCTAAAACAAGTCAATTTGTTGTTAAAGACAATTCAATTCATGGGAAAATGACTTATAAGCCCAACGAAGTTTTCAAACTGTTCAAAAAACAAAGTTATGTTTTGTTTGTTAAAGAAAACCCAACGAACTTAACCTTTTGTCTAAAAAAGCTCAACTAACTTACACTTTCGTTCACTTCTCATTTAGGGCTAACCGGCTAATGAAAGTCAACGAATGACATGGCTTATGACGTGTAATTAAATATCGGAAAATGACTTGTAACACCAACGAAGTTTCAAGACCGTTCAAAAAACCCCAATCATGTTTTGTTTGTTGAAAAAAACCTAACAAACTTACGCTTTTGTTCAATTCTCATTAGAGGCAACCAGATTCATTACGTATATAACTAGTTGGCAAATGACATGCCATTATATTTAATGACATGGAATAAACATATTAGAATTGCACTTTATATATCGATTTAGGGCTTGGAGAAGAGAAAAACGAATGGCGTATGTGTTCGATCTCTTGTAATAGCTACTTCTTATTCTTCCTTTCAATCGTTGATGTCCAACTCAAGATCTACAAAGAAGATATTTGATGATGAAAAACCTTGTGGATGTTGACGCCCTTCTTGGATTTGGACATCTAGAACAGAGGATCATCTAGAGAAAAAAGTCCAAGGCTTGTTCGAACAAAGTTCAGGGCTTGTTCGAACAGATGGGTAAATGTAATTGAAAGCTTTATCATGCCCATATTCTATCTATTTGTTTGGTTTCTTTCAAAAACAAAATCTTATTAAAATGGACATGATAAAGCTTTCAATTACACTTACCCATCTGTTCGAACAAACCCTAAACACTATCTCTGGATGATCCTCCATTCTAGATGTCCAAATCCGAGAAGGGCGTCTACATCCACAACAGTTTGCATCATCAAATATTTTCTTTGTAGATCTTGAGTCGGACATCAACGATTGAGAGGAAGAAGAAGAAGTAGCTATTACAAGAGATCGAACATAGACGTCGTTCGTTTTTCTCTTCTCCAAACCCTAAATCGAGATATAAAGGGCAATTCTAATCTGTTTATTCCATGTAATTAAATATAATGCCATGTCATTTGCCAACTAGTTGTATACCTAATGAATCTGGTTGCCTCTAATGAGAATTGAACAAAAGCATAAGTTTTTAGGGTTTTTTTCAACAAACAAAACATGATTGGGGTTTTGTGAACGGTTTTGAAACTTTGTTGGTCTTACAAGTCATTTTATGATATTTAATTACACGTCATAAGTCATGTCATTCGTTGACTTTCATTAGCCGGTTGACCATAAATGAGAAGTGTAAGTTAGTTGGGCTTTTTTAGACAAAAGGCTAAGTTCGTTGAGTTTTCTTCAACAGACAAAACATAATTGGGGTTTTTTGAACGGTTTAGAAACTTCGTTGGGCTTATAATTCATTTTCCCTTCAATTCATATGATTCAAAAGATACCACAAATATGTCATGGTAATGACCCTGAGCATCATTTTTTCCTTCTTCATCCGCATGTAAGCAGTCTCATTGCACCACTAAATTATGGAGGTAGCATTTAGAGAAAACTCCTTCCACTAGCCATTAATCTTTGCTCTAATTTCCTTTCCCGACAAACATTCTAGAAAGAAATGTTCTTATGTTTCCTCTTTACCATTACAAGTGGTACAATGATTGCATCGAATATGGACCCTTTTTCTATCTAGATTACATCTAATTTAAGATTACATACATATAAAAATTGTTTAGTAGATGATAGTATTGATTTATTATCATTCTAAAAATAACTAGATAAATTTGTTTTCCCATTAAAACTAAATATTTTGTGACAATACAATTATAAAAACTTTAGCTTTCAAAGTTCAAACATCTTAGAAATTTAGTTAATTTAAGATTATATATATATATATATATATATATATATATATATATATATATATATATATATATATATATAGACTTAAGTTCAAATGTTTCTACTATTTATTGTGTGCATGTACGATTGATTTTGGACCAATCATTTTAATTATTTTAAGAAAGTAATTAATGCATATTAAATGTTGAATATTTAATTAATACTCATTATATCTTCAACATTTAATATGCATTAATTACTTTCTTAAAATAACTAAAATTATTGATCCACAATCAATCCTACATGCACACAATAGATAGTTAGAACACAATAACCTAACCTTTTATATATATATATATATATATATATATATATATATATATATATATATATATAGGCCTAGGTTATTCTATTCAAACTAATTATTGTGTTATTGTATGCATAAATATGGGTCAATCATTTTACTTATTTTAAGAAAGTGATTAATACATATTATTGAATTAAAAATAATCGAAAAATATCATTTAGTTTAACTAGAAGGGTATTTTAGTCAATTAACATAGATTTAATAAAGGAAAATTGCATTTTTAAGGGATCATAGATTCTATTAATTTTAAAAATCCGATTTTAAGATTTATAATTATTTTAATTCGGACATTCTGACAAAATATGTTTATGAGTATACTCAAAATTAAAAATATTCTTGAACCATAAATAATAAAAATATTCTTGAACCTATTTCTTGATCATGAATTTAAAAACTTCTTGTAGAATAACAAATTCTTGAACAATCACTAGAAGAATAAAAACTAAAATTACATTATTTTTTATAGAATACGGGTAAAACTTGTTAATAATTACATTTATTGTTAAAGAATAAAACTTAAAAAACAATCAAAACCGGAAAGAAAACATCAAAATCTAACAACGACTAATACATTCTAAAAGAATAATGTGGTCCGTTTCAATTTTGTGGTCCGTTCTTCAAGCATCAACTTCTGTGATTCCAACAGAATTGGAATTCGTCATTCCATTCCAACAGAATTGGAATTTGTGATTCCATTCCAATAGAATTGGAATCTCACCAATATCATCCATTGAATCAAGAGAGCAAACAACCCATTCTGAATTGAACTAACGTGCACTCCTTTCTTCACTGCTAGCCTCGGACCACCCAAACACCAGCTGCTCCCTCTTGTTCTTCCTTCTTCCTTCTTTCCTGTCAAACAATCAAACCCATAACCTGATAAAAATTAATAACTTATCACCAATGCTTGATTCACAATTGTATAAAAAGATCATAGTTCACAATTGTATAAAGAGATCATAGAGAAACCTGATCAAATATCTATCCTTTGCTGAATTCCTTCTATATATATTTGTCACCTTCTTTTTTTTCTACAAACCCAATCGAATATGCACTCACAATTCTCTGATGCTTCTTTACAGTATGTAATTAAATCAATATAAACCATGTAATGATGTAAACTATAACAAAAACAAGTTGATTTTACCAGTCTCAAACTTTGCTGCAAGCATAATGAAGAAAGTTAACACACAAGAAGTAGTAGATGACGAAAAAGAGATCTTGAACGACCAGCCATTGCCATTCACCAAGCTTTTAACTTATGCAGATGCACTGGATTACACTCTAATGGCTCTTGCATCCTTGGGCTCCATCATCCATGGGCTTGCTTTCATCCTCCTTCATTAGCAAAAGGAGTATCAAACCTCCTTTGTTCTTCCCTCTCCTTCTCTTATCAAAAATCAAAGCCAAACACATCAGTGGATCGTTTTTTTTACCTGCTTTCATCCTCCTTTATTAGCTTTTGTCAAAACAAAAAGAAAAGAGTGAACAAGAAACGACAAGGCACTTACCTGTTATCGATTCAGAACAACACCTCTCGCACATCTGTTTTTCTCCCGTCGAGCAGCTGCCACCGAACCCCTTACCGAAGCTGATGTGGCTTATCGTCCAACCCCACGCACCTTTCTCTTCCCCCTCGCTTCTCACTCCCTTTCCCCAACCCCATAGAAGCGTCTCTGCTTCTTTCCCCTTCCTCTTCTTCGGCCTAAGTCGAACCCTGGAGGTCATCACCGACTGCGAATCGATAAGCTCAGCAACCATCGGACCTCCTTCCTTCGCATCTCACAGCCAGCGAAGAACAATTGAACCTTCGCTGCATCTACACGTCATCGATGCTTCGGCCTTGTAAAACCCCGGAGACGGCAATAGCGTCGCAGCAGGTGAATGGAGCGAAGGAGAAGAAGGAGGGGTTTCTGATTCCTTCGATCTTGTTCCCTTTCGATCGAATCCGTAAGGTTTTACAAAGTGACGTCGGTGGTAATTAAAAGGGAATAAATTAGGTTACAATCAACTAGCATAATTATAGGAAATTATTTAGGGAAATTATTTATAAAATTACCTAATTACCCTTATTTATTTATTTAATTATTTATTTATATTTTAAATTTTGATTGGCCCACATTTATGCATAAAAAAAATACATAGAGATCACAGAAATTTTTTTTGAATTTTTTTATAAATAATCGTAGCTTTTTCTTAAAATTCGCTGAAAATAAAAAATAAAAAATCAATTATTTTTTTTTATAAAAAAAAAATCAAAATTTTTTTCAGCGAATTTGTATAGAAAACTGCGATTTTTTTAAAAAAAAAAAAAGTTTTGTGATCTCTAAGT